ATGCATGATAATGCACGGCCTCATGTTGCTCATGTGGTGACCCAGTATCTACGCGACGTCAGCATTCGTACGATGGACTGGCCAGCTCGAAGCCCGGACTTGAATCCGATAGAACACTTATGGGATGAGCTGAAACGTCGGGTTCGAGCCCGGGTACCTGCTCCAACAAGGCTTCCAGAGCTGCGAATCGCAATTGAAGAGGAGTGGAATACAATTCCTCAAGATTTTATCGTCAGGCTCGTATGGTCGATGAATACAAGGATGCTGGCAGTTATCCGAGCAAGGGGAGGGAATACGGAATATTGATCAAAATTTTTTTTTTTTATTTTATCTTTGTTTTTGGCTTTAATTTTTTTTTTCACTTTATCATTACTAACGATTGTCACGACTGGAAAACGACTCTTCTTTGTAAAATCCTTAATAAACACTGAAATATTGATTAAACCCAATGAGTTTCCTTTCATTTTAATCACCATGAAACGCACTTTCTGTAGGTACAACTTTGTTAATTGTAGGTTTTTTAGTTTTTGAGAAAATCGAATTAGAGTGCCTAGGTAGCGGGTGGCTCGGTTTATTTGCTGTCCAGTTTACGAGTATATCTTCTTTTAAAACACACAAAACTAAAGAACTATATAATATAATAATGAAAGAAATACACATATAACAGTTACGTCTAGTGGTTAGTGACCCTGACTGCTAAGCCGGAGGTCGTGGGTTCGATTTCCACCCAGGACAAATATTGTGTGATGATCACGGTCATTTGTTCTGTGTCTGGGTGTAATTTATCTATAATATTATGTATTTAAAAAAATATATAGGTATGTTTATCAGCAGTCTGGTTACCATAGTACAGGCTCTGTCTAGTTTGGGATCAGACGGCTGTGTGTGAGATGTGCGATATAAAAAAAAAACACATAGTTAACTACCCTTATAACTATTAGGTTTGTGATATTCATAATATTTATTACATAACCGTTATAATATTAATTGTATAGTTGTAAATGCATTATCTATTGTTCCATTCGTTATGTTTATTTATTCAAAACTTAATGCACATGTTGTCCAAGGCGGATTTAATGCCATAGGCATTCTCTCCCAGCCAACCTTCAAGTGATGTAGAAGTATTTTATTTCACACCTACCCCAGGTGTGAAATAAAATATTACATTCAACATAATTGAAGTCCAGAGATATACATAATATGTAAATACACATACATAAATTTATTATAATATAAAAATACTTTGAAAGTTATCAAACCAATATAAAAAATAAATATTTTAAACTGTAATAGAAATACTATATAATGATTAAACTTTAAAACAATATGAAATGATATTAATTTTTGTAAGTAAATCTTTTCAGATATTTTTACAAGTCGGACTTCATAGCTAGAAGGAGCCGGCATTTCCTAAGACTCACTCTGGGAAGAAACACCGAAACAAACCACAGAGGGGTCCTTTTTTTTTTTTTTTTTAATAAAATGGAATAATACCTGGAATAAATGCAATAAAAAACCCTTGCATTGGAAAACATTATAGTCGCCTTGCAGCTTATGATTTTTTTGACACTGTTGCTTTACTTCAAGCTAACCACTAACCTTACATGCTTAAAAAAAATCTTATTCAAGATATAAAAACGTATCGAGTACAATATAAATAAAAAAACGCCAGTTGCCAGGGTATTTAACAAGTCTTTTTAAAGCTTAGCGAATATTTTCGTAAATTGAAAGAATTGTGACAAAACAGCTGTGAGATTAGGCAAAGATGTTGAAAATAACACGCAGCAATAAAGCTACTTAAATACATGCTGTTTTAGAGACATTTATAAAATCCTATGTTACCATATCATTACACAAGTTTTTATTTAATAGGTTAATACTTAGAGATCAAGATTAACGAACAACCTAACTAATACTATTCTGTAAGAGGCGAACGACTGAGTGAGTGAGTGTGCTACTCACTCATAGCAACATTCATTCAGAATAGCATTCATAAATGTATTAGAGAAATAGCATGGGGGGACGCATAACATAGGTCGACGGTTTTCTGATTGTCTATGGAAAGAAGTCAATTTTAATTGAATTTGTTTATGTCTCCTAATTACAGTACAGACAACATCAATCCCGTTTTCCACCCGACTTGCGGTATCCTTTATACCTATCGTTCCGTCCCCTAAACCCTAACCGTTATACCTATCGCATTTGCATTCTTCCACTGTCCGGTCTGAATATTATTATATTCTTAAGGAGAGTTGTTGGTATCAGAATGGTCAAACATAAAACTATAATGTTGCGCATCGCGCTGACTCCAAGGGCAGAAATTTGTATAATTATGATAATAATAACTTCAAAGACCTTAAACATATTAAAATACTCGTAATGCGTCGATAGAAATATAGGTTTTTATATGACTTTCCTCAACACGGGGATTTTGTATACGGTCAAAAGTCAAAGATACAATGAAGGGAATTTTGGATGTGCACGGTGTTTAGACGAGTCCGACTGGAGAGACATACAGCGACCAATGGCCGGTGTTGGTGTATCAGTGTGGCTACGAACTAGCTTTAACCGCTGATGACTGGCGACCTCGTCTTAGACTGGAGGGGGACTGGTGTTAGTGAGAGGCGTACACATGGAACGTGTCGTGACGTATTCCCATATTGAGTGTGTCGTTTATTTATTTTAAACCAAAACACTTGTTTTTGAATGAATTACTGAAGGCTGATCAACCATCCGTACGACGAAGCATAGTGCGGTTCGTCGTACGGATGGTTGGTTGATCAGATCAGATCAGCAGTGGAACATAACACGATTATCATTTACCGTATAAGTACGTAATTTAAGAAATAAGGCTATGTTGGTTTAGTCATATAAGAGGAGATCACCTGAATACATAGAAAACTTAACGCTACAATTCAATTCAAATTTAGAGTAGGCCAAGGATCTAGATTGTTGAGAGAGAGTTGTAATGCTAAGAAATTTAAGGCAGTATCAGGTTTCCTAAGGCTATTCGAAAAACAAGGAAAGCTGACCCCATCATAATGTAGGATCAAAAGCATGGAAAAAAAAAGAAAAAGGTGATATAATAACTTGATTAAAATTGTAACAACAAGTCTACAAAGCTTAGGAGCAGGGTAGTGACCGTAAAGAAAAACATGCCCATTAAAGACGTTGTCTCCTTAAACTTAGCGATTTAAAATAAAAGATACGGATTATCGTTGATTAATTAATCGTTATCGTTCGTTGATTAATAAGCCATGTTACAAAATCGTTACGATTAGGTAATCAATCTTGTTAAAAACGTCACGCTTAAATTAATTTTTGGAATTTTATCAAATAATTTAAGAGAACTTAAGTATATTTAGTAGTAATAAATCATATTTAGTTTTCTTCCTAAAAATTAAATTATAACGAATGTTTATTATTGTGGTAAGTAAGTGTTTAGGTATGTAACAAAGGAATTGTTTAAATAGCGCAAAACTAAATTCTTAAACAAAAAATACTGTGAAAATAAATAATGAAATAAAGAATAATCGTTGATAATTTTTAATTAAATTTAGTAGTAAATTAATTTTAGTAGCACTTGACATTCTTTTTTAGGTTTTGGCATCTGACATCAATATTTTTAAACGAGTTCAAAAAAGGAAGAGGTTTTTAATTCACCAATGTTTGTTACCTCAATATTGCGCCATTAATGAACTGCTTTAGATTTTTTATTGGGAAGTGTCGATTTCCCGAAAACCCCTGAGGGGGGAAATATAGGAACGAAGAATATAGCTTATTACAATTCATCTGTAGGAGCGTTGGCGTGGTACCTAAGTAACTTTTTTTAAGGTGAATTTTAAATACACGGATTAAGTATAAAACTACGTGACGTCAACCATGTGCACAGCGTAAAAGAAACTAATGCGGGACACCTGAACTGAATTGTCAATTATCGCCATATGACCATGCGATGTTTACAATGTTGTAACCGGTTTCACTGAACCATCCTTAACATGTTACAACATGTTACGTGATGATCATTTGACCTTCAATGAACGAATAATATTATCCGTTAAGTACTGAATCTAAACTTGAAATAATTACTTGCCTCAAAAAAATTGTAGCAAAATAATGCTTGATAAAGTTTTAAAAAGTCATACCTGTTTGGCGCCGCCGCGCCGGTATGTCGGAGGCGCGGAGGGATGAGGGACGAGGGGGGAACGCGCCGGCGGGCAGCGGGGGAGTGTGACAACTAGTAGCGAGTGAGGTCAAGCCGGTGCATCGGAACGCGAGGGATGGGAAAATATCAAAACAGTTATGTTTGAAATACCTACATATGTTTTCTTCATTGTATAACAAAATGTATTAGGGAAATCCTTATAAAATAATAACGTTTAATAGTTTCATATACTAAATTTCGCACTTCGATTTTATTGTCAAAAAAATATTAGGTGTTAGTTTTTCTCCCCTCTGAAAATACATACCTAGCTAAAATTACATAAAGCTGAATGTAACAATTTTATATTTAGAAAACTTTGATAAGGTTCTAAGACAGGAAATAGCTAACGTTAAAAAGTCTCTATGCAATATGCATTAAAAGAAAATTAACACGAATACTATACAATAGGTACGATAAAACAACAATAAAGCCAGAAAACAACGTGGTGTTATCACAGAATAATACCCAACACTAGTGAGGTCAGAGAGACCGGGGGAGCTCCCCGCGCCCTTCGTCCCGCGCCCTTCGTCCCGCGCCAGCCGTATATAACCTCGCCCCCGTACGCGCGCCGCGTCTAACGTTTCTGCGCCAACGTGTAGTTTGGTCGATCGACGCTCGTGATACCACGCGTAAAATAAATTTGTGAAAGTGTTGCTTATAAAACGTGATTTCTAGAGTAAAAGTACTTTGCCGCGCCTAAGATATTAAGTGGGAAGACGTATACGCCTTTGCAATTTATTGTAACAAGTGTCGGTGGGGGAATTGTCTCGTCTATTTGAGCGTGGAGAGGGGTTCAATGGAAGCGAGGTTCGTGACCTGCCGGAGTTTCCAGCAGATCAAGCCGCCTGAAAAGAGTCTCGCACCGTCACCACCGACGGTGAAGGGGCTCCTTTCTCGCTTTGGGAGTCAGGCACAGGCATTGTTCGCCCCCAAGAAGCCCCGCTTCGGTTCGTCTGTGGCTATACACAAACTTCGTGAGACCAAGTGGTTCAAACATGATGAACAGAACATATTATGTGCCGTCCTCGAGACAGGATTCATACTCGAGGTGCGAGCTGAAGATCCGCTGCCAGCGGACTCCATATTGTCACCAGATTATCACATGTACGCAATTGCCATGTGGAAGAAGGGTAAAGGTACGTATTTTTATATCAATCTTTATCGGTTTCAGTATAGACTGCACGAAACATCACGACTTATACACGTTGTAACTCCGATGCTTTGATAATGTATGCATTTATGAAGTTTAATAAAATTGGCACAGTGCACAAGCCGCCACTCATTTGCAACAAGATGTATTCACAATAGCGTTTGTAAATAATAGGTATTCAAGCAATTCCCGCTACTCCGATAAACGCATAAATTGTTAATGTGTGAAACACAATTACAGTAGTAATCATTGACGGATAATAACGTTTCGAAAGAGTAAAGGCCTTGGATTTCTTGTTTAAGAATACTCGATAACTTGATAGAATTATTCAATTTTACAATTAATTATTTGAAAATATTCTTTCGACAGAAAAAACAAAGAACCCGGAACAGATAGATGTGTACACCGTACAACAAAAAGGTGTGCGTAAACGTGTCGTGAAGACAACACTTAGTGCCTTTTGGAAGAAGGACTCTGTAATACGTATCAACAACGTGGATGACAAGCAGGAAACGCCAAACAGTGAAAAGGATATCAGAGCAAAGGTAAACAAATATGTGAATATTCGGAAGTCCACGTTTCCAATTCCGTAACTAAACAAGTTTTGTGCATACACTCAGACCCCCAACTAACAGTATCTACACAGACTTATATGTAACGATAACTGGAAATAGATTCGGTATTATATAATACAATACAAAAAAAATGCAATAATTAAAATAAATATTACCTTATTGCATCCGATTTCATTTATTTACAAAATTATATTACGAAATAAATTCCTCATAAAAAAAAAAAAAAAAAAAAAACTACAGTCCTAATTAAAAAAAAAAAACATCTTTACATATGAATTGAGGATTCTAATATTTTATACATAAATATCCGATAAGTATGTATTTAGAACTTGTCGTGGAATAATAAAACTTTGGGCAAATATGTGACAAAAGTTTAACAATGGAAACGAAAAATAAATTTAGTAATATAATACCGAAGCTAAAACTAGTCTCATACAAGTCTTGCGATGTCACATTGCAACATATTACGACAATATATTCGTGTTTTAACAATAAAGTTATCATGAATCGATGATTAAATACTTGTTGGCTTAAAATATAACGTTTTGACCTCAATTTAAAGCAAATATTACGTATATTTATTCCTAATAATACAATTTTTCAACACATGTGTGTTGTCTTGAAAGTACTCTATAGAACCTATTTATTTTTCTCTTTGACTAACCCTTTAAGGTACTAATGCATGATAAATATTCCTACCTTTAATGGTTTATCAGCTCTCTCTATCGAACTTTAACGTTCTTCCTCAAATACCGTAGGCTTGCGTCAGAATTGGAAACCTCTCGTTTCAGATAGCGAAAGCCTCGAGAGGGCTTTCGTTTATTGGAAACTGTGGCCACAGTTGAACAGTGGAACAGCTACTAAGGAGCTTCTACTGATTGCAGTTGGATATGGCAACTAAGTCAAGGTTCGAGAGGAACTGGCATAATACCCTGCACTTCGTCCACTGGTGCCGATATGGAGAAACGCCGCAAGAGGCTCGCATGAGACAGGTAAATTACACATCATCACCATCTTGTAGGGAACCATTCACTATTTCGTTTTAATTTCAGGCATACAAATTGCGCACCAAGACACTTATTTTATATCTTCTCTTACTCGGTGTTTTAGTTTCAATCTTTTATATGTATATTTTCATACTTTTAATTATGCATGCCTGTGCATGTCTGCAAGTGAAGAGTATACCGTTACAAAGTTTTAATTATAAACATGTTTAAATGGCACTGTTACTGCAATGGCACCATAGTACATTTTACGTTAAATAAAATCGTAAAGTGCTTTTTTATCTAGCTTTATTGTGTAAGTCTATGCCGGTTTAGTTGTGAAATGTGGACTAGAGTGAGGAATCGAACACATCCAGACTGGCGATCATTCATCATGCATGGGTCATTGATTGGGTACGAAAAGTACAAAAAGAGATCGCACAACGAAGAAATTTTGTTACAGATCAGCTTAACAACGTCGAAAACACCTATGATTATCATCTTTTGATGGTAATTGTTGAGGCGCTTTGGACAATTACAGCTGGCAAGAATAAAAATACCGGTGAGGTTTTGAATTTTAACAGATTGGTATAAAACGTTTAGGAGTCTGTGTTTGCCCTTGTGTTCGTTGAGTGTCATGTCATGAGAGACAATTTAACTTTAGCTAAAACTGCCCCTATATACGGTTTTTGAATAATGGATGCGGAAAAATGTAAACTTTGATCAAATCGATTTGAACAAACATGTGCCGACGATGATCTTAAACTTAAATGTGTATCACGAATCGAACATTAAACTGATATAGGCTAATAAAATTGTTCGGGCACGATCAGGCACAGTCAGGCGCGCTTTGTTTATCAGACTATCGCAATTAACAAATTACTATACAATCGGTTAACTTATTTAATTCAAACATGTATATTTAACACATGAAATAGCGAATTATTCTTCAAAATTAAACAACATTCTTTACTTGGAATGATTATAAATTTTTAATAACAACGTACATATCAGAAAGTATAACGTAGAGGCTTAAAAAGACCAGCTGTTATAATAAAACAGACAATATTAATAAATTATATATACATTAATGCATAGCTTTGTGAAGCACTTGTGTTTAACATCAAATTAATATTAAATAACTGAATAATTTTATATCAACAGATTTTATATAACCTTGTTTAAAATTGAAATGCAATCATCTATTAAATTAACCAATTTCAAAAACGAATAATTAATTACCGACTAAGTAGTATAAGAATTCCGCGTAAATGAGTAGGTAATATGGCGATTTATTTAAGTATTATAATTGGGTAAATAAACTGTCCAAAATCGAATTTAAATTTCCCATATTCGTTATTATATTCAGGCGATTAATTTATTTCATCACATAATTGACCCAAATTTCGTTCAAGCTTCTCTAAGAGGTTGTTGAACTGTACTGGTCGATTGGTTTAAAAGTCCTATTGATAAAATAATTAAGACAAAAATAGCGGCGTATTTTATAGAATAAGAGATTAGTTAATTGTTTGACTGTTTCATACAACTAAGTCGCAAAACATGAAACAAATAAAAAATTATAGTTTTCTACAATCTTTATATAAACTACTTAGCATAAGTGAAACTTAAAATAATTTATGATAATTTTAGTGTCAATTTATACGTTCCTAGAACTTATTGATAATCTATTATAAAATGTTACTTAATAAGTATAAGAGACATTAACAAAGCTTGCTTAAAAACAGGATAATAACACAATAACACTCGTATACATTTTCAGTTATTTATAAATAACGCGTCTCTTCAATTAAATACCGTTACTATCGTTACAAATAAAAATAGTTAACGTCATTGAGGTCAGGACAATGAAAAATCTAATAAATAAGGAAATAATAATATATTGTTTAAAATGTCTAATGAATAATTTTTGCAATAAAGTAAATTGCATTTAAATAGTGAAAAAAAACGTTATTGCCAGGTAGGTTATCTTAAGCCACAGTAATAAACTATAATAACAGATAGCAAAAGAGTTGTATAATTAACTGTGTTGATTATCGCTTTTATTATTGTGCCATTAAGTCATCTATTAGGTACGTACAAGTTCTAAACGGTTAGTATCAATGGGTAATTATAGAAAAAATCGCATACAACTATCTGATATGTCGTTATAACGTTATTTAAACTATACATAAAGTTGATAGAGGCTAACCAGGCGGAAAATTGATAAAATAAATTGTCATTTGAGTTTATGTTTTTGATGTGACACAATCTTGCTAGTAAAATATGATTTAATAACTTGTGATTGATGAGAACTGATACTGTTTTCATTGGATATAGGGACAGTTATATTTATTAAAGTTATTTTATAAATTATTGGGTAACACAGTCTAAAGACTAGACGTATGTATATTTAAATTAACTTTATGTCCAATTTACGTTTAATATCAATAACTATTTATTTTTGTTATACTGTACTATTTAAATAACTCATTAAGTATAGTATTGGCTTGTACGTACATGTAGTTACTGCACAAATAAAATCGCCTCGTGTAATAATCATTTAATGCGACTTAAAAACGTCTTTTTACACGTCATAATACGATACGTGAATTATAGATAAAATAAGTATAAAGTAATCGCATATCACAACCGTCATCCGTTTGTTTTCCGTTATTAGAAATATCTTTCGGTTTAATGTGATAGAAATCATACATTTTTTTCGTTTATTCATGTCCAGAATGTGCTTTAGATGTTGTCATACGTCGTAGCTGTTTGTTTAAATATATTTTTTCTTATTTCTACCAACTACTAACTTCTTACTAGCCAGTGTCCATACTTAACCAATCTGTATTCTTTTCAAACCTCTTTTTAGTGCTTTTAACATTATTATTTTTAAATCTTTTTGTTGCAGATTAGTGAGTCATTCAAGTGGGGTAATGTAGGCATGAATATGGGCGTAATGCTTGTCAGTCAGAGCTACGGCCGTGAAAAGGCTAAGTCTGTCTGAGAAATACCCTCCAGCGGAACTAATTCCGCTGGCAAATACTCATGCTACGCTTGCTTCTGGCCAACGCCCAAGATAATTGACAGCATCTAAGTGATTTTAGTTCTGGAATTGCATTTTGAATTGCGAAAGGGTTTCAATTTGGAACGAAGTTTCGCCAATACGGATTTTGAAAGGATTTGATTGGTTACGTTTGAAATTCTTTGCATTTCTAAAACTAAATATTTATGTGTTCAGAACAGGTTTTCTGGATTGTAAAGATTTAAATTTAGAATATCATTTTTATATTGAATTGATTTCAATTTGAATATCATTTCTTCACATAGAAATACTTTCAGTTTGGAATTTTATTCCTGAGACGATCGGATATTATTTTATCTATATGGTTTAAATCACTATGTTCCTCTTAAGAATTTCATTATTTGTATTCTATTTTGTTTGTTGTCTCTTGGACAATTCTTATTCCTCTTTGGATGAATAAATTTTTGGGGCATCTTTCACAAAATTTGAAACGATGCGATCAAATTTGTCTTTGCGATTGAATTAGAAAACAACTTATTTAAATATTTCTACATGTAAACAAACATTAGATATGTAAATAAATAGTTATATAGTCCACGTTAAATCTGGTTATAATACCGCCTAAATATATACGTTATACTAGAAAAAAATTGTGAAAGTGGCCCTATATAGCTTTAATTCGAATACATAATAACGAAAATTATAAAACATTCCTGTTACTAAGAGCAAAAGACGCCCCTCGGCTCATAAATATACTTAACTTTATGCTAATATTAAACCTTTTGATGTTTAATCATTATATTTGTCTGAGAGTGGCAGCCCTAGTCTTACGAGTATTTATAACACGTTCTGATTTTAATAAGACTGTTTTATTTTACTAATTTGGAATTTATATTTCCAATTTAACATTGGAATACTACATTGTTTCTGGGAAACCGCTCAATAAGAATTGAATTAGTCAAAATGAAGTATTTATACGTTGTCCAGCCATTGTTGGATTGGAATTTCAAGTATTTTAAACTATATAGTTTATGCGACCTAATTAATGTTAACTGTGACAGATTGACTGTTGTGAGAGTTGTTAGTACTCATGTATGGTTATACGTTATTTATAATGAAGCATTTTTATGAATAAATGAATACTTTTTAATGTTGTGTTTTAATTCCTACGTAGGTATACACACATGTAAAAACTAGGTAACTTGCATACATAGGCTACTTGTCAAATTTATGTATATTATACATGTTTTAATGTTTATATTTTAGCATATTTAGTTCAAAACTCTGTGAAGACAGATGTCATTTATGTGAAATCAAATATATTTTGTTTAAAAGTGAATAAATACAGAAAAATGTCTCCAAAAGCTAATATACAAAAAAAAAGGTCACCTAAGTGCCTATTTTTAATGCATGCTTAATTAAATCAGTAATTTCAAATGAATATTTTTTTCCGTGTGGCTACGGATTAAAAATACGGAGTGTCAACAGCCCTTTTCATCCCGTGGGTATCGTAAGAGCCGACTAAGAGAGCAAACTACGCAGGACAACATCACTGCAAAGAGAAGAAAACCCTGAAACAAACCTTATACCAACCCGCCTGGCCAGCGTGGTATCATCATCATCATCAACAGCCTCTAACAGTCCACTGCTGGACATAGGTCTCTCCTTAGAAAAGAGGTTTAGGCCAGCGTGGTATAGTAACCTCCTTTCTTGAGAATGTTCTATGGCCAGCACTGGACCATTAAAGGATATTGATGATTTCTAGTGTAAAAGAGTTTGCAATATTAGCAGTTATTGTTACTCTAAGTCTTTTTAAACAACACAAGGTGACTGTTGGTCACAGTTGCGATAAATGAAAACTACATTTAATGGTGGGTTTAACCTCCGACGTGGACGGAATGGTGTTGCGAGTTTAACGTGAGTCTATGAGCCTTTGTATCTGTGGATAATAAAATTTACATAAAACAATTCAGACTACACGATAAAATTTGGACTTTGAGGTTGTTTAATACGTAACATTATAAAATAAACATGGTATCTGATTGTCTTATATTACCTATACCCAAAGATAATGAACTGGCAACAAGATATGACATCTTTTTTTACTTTGGAGGGAGAGAGAACACGGTAAGTTAACTAATGCTTCTACTGAATAGGAAAAAGTTTTAATAATAACACAAATTTATATGCATTTAATAATACCTAGTAATTATATCCTTAAGAACAAATAACAAGTGTTATGTTATTTTATGAGTTCTAGAACAAACATGACGGTACTTTAAACAACTGTCGGTTTAGTGGTTAGTGACTGAACTGCGATTGTCCGTGTAGTGACGGATTAAGAATACGGAATGTCACTACCCCAATTCATCCCGTGGGTGTCGTAAGAGTCGACTAAGGGCGCAAAACAACGCAGGACACCAGCTCTGCAAAAAGAAGGAAAACTTGTCACAAACCCTATACCAACCCGTCTGGCCAGCGTGGTATAGTAGGCCAAACCCTCCTTTCTAAGGAGAGGCCTATGTTCAGCAGTGGACTATTACAGGCTGATGATGTGATGTGATGATGTGACTGAACTGACTGCTAGGCTAGAGATCGTAGGTTCGATTCCCACCCAGGACAAATGATTGTGTGATGAGCACGATCATTTGTTCTGTGTATGAATATGACTTATTAATCTGTAGGTAATCTGGTTGTATTTAAAATATATAAGTGTGTTTATAAGTATTCTGGTTACCATATCGCATGTGTGAGATACATCAAGTTGAAATAAGTCAATTGTACTGTTCCACAATATCTATTTCTTAAACTAGGGTCCTGTTTAATAAACCTTACAAATTGTAATTGTATTTTATAAGTTACAAATCTACAAGTTTCTGTTTAATAAAGAAGATAACTACAAATTTACCAATGTGGAAAACTGACAAAACATATTTCTGTTTTATAAACAATTCTCTATTTACAAGCGACAATTTACATATTTACTCATTATATACTCTTATATTCATGTACCCAACTTTGATGTCAGATTTAAACCAAATTCTAAACATTTAAAAATTGTAAGATTTTTGAAATCTGCACTGAATATAAGAATCTCCAACAAAAACTTAAATTTTGTGTAAACTTACAATTACAAAATTGTCATCGAAATCTACAGGCGTTTTTTGCTCATTTTACATGTTCGTTTATTAAACAGCATTTGTAATGATAATATTTGTAATGTTTTTCCTTGTACACGCATTGTGTTACATAATTGTAAGGTTTATTAAAAAACACTTGTCATATAACTTTACAAATGCATATGCCACTTATTTACAAAATTGTCGCATTGTAAACAGGCCCCTGACCGGTTACTTTTCACGGTATTTGCAAAGGGCATTATGGCAACAACAAACTTATTTACCAAGTGCCATCAGACAACAGTATACATAGTATATATCACGTTACTATTAATTGTTAACCGAATTCAAGAAAAGGAGGTGTTCTCAGTTCGGTTGTATTTTTTTTTGTTTGTACGGACGCCTGCGGTTTTTGGGGGAATATCAAGCGAATTGTCGACTTTTTAAAATCTACTCACTGCTTTGTTACAATGTCAATATGAGGGCTCAGTGTGAGTTTATTTCACTTCTATTTGCTCTCGACAGCGAACGCATTTAGCGTTGCGATTGGTGCAGATTTCAGCGCAATCGCTCGCTCAATCAATCGCAGCGCCGAACGCGCTCACCGTGACGATCGAGTAGATGTAAAATAAATTCGCACTTGGGCCTCAGGTTCCAAGCTTCGTTTCGTACGAAACGAAACGATAATTTCTTAGAATATGATTAGTCGGTTGGCGGGGCTAGTACGATGCGTCACTATTTTCTTAACGCGAATGTCTTATAGGCATCTATGAATAGCTAGCGGTGAAACTCATCTTGTGGAATTTTACATATCCTCATATTTTAAGTAGACACCTTCAACATCTCTGTCTGCCCTTCTCGGACACAAGCGTGAAAGTATGGATGCAGTCATTCTACTTCAAATTTAATTATTTTATTTTTACACTTCCTCCATTAAAATTTGCACGAGGCGGACTTGATGCCACATGGCATTATCTACCAGTCAACCTTTAGAGTTTAGATTGGTTCAGTAAGAGAAATCTAGAACGGATATGCAAATTCTGGCCCTGTTCGAATAGCAGTTTCTTTATATGGAAACATATAAAGCAACGGTTTTAAAAAACTTTAACGACATAAATGAATGTGTGGTACTTAACAAGAAATTAACAAGAGTAAGGTACGTGAAGGTTGTTTAAGTTTACTTTAAAATTATTCAAACAATTTAGATTGACAAGATTAAACTAGGACAAGGATATGGTAGCCGGATCTTGGTGTTGGTTATATGTACGCAGTTAGGATTCGAAACGAGCTTCTGTCGTGATGAATGGAGATTTATTTATAAGTAGTAAGCAGGTCAGTATTAGATCTTGTCACGTTCTAACTAGTTGACTCTTAATTTAAAAAAATAAACAATATATGTTTAGAACAAAACTATAAATAATAATAATAATATCTTCACACTTCAACTAGGATCAAACTAGGCAGAGCCTGTGATAACCAGATTGCTGATCATCATTACCTCAGCCTTTGCTTGTCCACTGCTGGACATAGGCCTCTCCCAATGATTGGGAGAAATCATTGGGAGAGGCCTATGTCCAGATTGCTGATAAACATCCTTAAATATTTCTGAATACGTACATATCATCAATACAAATAAATGAAATTGAAGGTTAGGTTTGTAATGTCAAAATAATAGGTTAAGTTCGTATAAATATGAACCTAAAAACCAGTTCAAATATTTTTTGCCTGTCTGTCTGTTTGTTCAGGGTAATCTTCAAAACGGCTCGACCGATTTTGATAATATTTTACTACCAGATAGCTGTCTATATAAGGAGTAACTTAGGCTATTTTTCCTTTCAAAAAACCCCTATAAAATTTTGCCCAGTCCGGGAATCGAACTCGAGGAACTTCAGTCGCGTACCGCACTATACAACTAAGGCAGCGCTTTTCAAATTCCAAGCAAAGGGTACCAGCTGGTTATAGATAAACACAGAGACAGAACAAATGCTTGTACTCATTACACAATTGTCCAGGATGGGAATCGAACCTATGACCTCCGGCTCAGCAGTCAAGAGTCAATAAACTACTAGGCCGTAAAATCAATGAGAAGCAGCTAGACTCAACCAAAATGGTATTCATACTAAAATAAATACATTACGACTTTACTGTGGTAAAATTTTTCTGAGACCAAAAGTGCCTTCATTAAACCAATTTCCGTGCTTCTAATATAAGTGTGGACTTAAGGTCAATTTATGTATGTATATCATAAATAAGCCATGCCTGTGTTACAACATGAGTTCCACAGTTTCAAGGTCAAGGTTCCACGTATAAATTTTAGTAATTTGTGGTTGTTTGTTAACCTCGCAGGCTTATAATAGTTATTGCAAGTACAAGATTTACAATTATTTTTGTTATTAATTTTAAAGAACATATATATTTTTCAATTTTGAAAACTACCTTCAAAAATGGACTAAGTTTCTGATTTTTCCTAATACTTATATTTTTATAGCTTCAGTGAGGTGTCGACATATGTATTTGATGTAATTTTCAACTTAATACCTAATTATAAATAGTGCAGGAATGATTGTAAATGTGTATTTAGAGGCTTCATCACTAACGGCGATATTTTTTCGAATTACCTTTCACATCACATCCTTTAACAGTCCACTGCTAGACATAGGCCTCTCCTTAGAAAGGAGGTTTTGGCCTACTATACCACGCTGGCCCGACGGGTTGGTATACGGTTTGTGTATAGTTTTCCTTCTGTCTGCAGTGCTGTTGTCCTACGTATTTCATTCCCGTAGTCGCCTCTTACGACACCCACTGGATGAATAGGGGTGGTGACACTGTATTCTTAATCCGTCACTACACGGACATACCTTTACGGTAATTAAAATCAAAGTTAAACTGATACTGCATCAGTTAAACGAATAAACAGTTGACAGTACAATGGCGTAAGTATAAAGTTGTCTTATAAGCATCTGTTTCACAAATAGCGGTAGTTGCTGTTTTGACGACCGGATGGCGTAGTGGTTTGTGTAACGGACTGTTATTTCAAAGGTCGCGGGTTCGATTCCCGCTCAAGTCAAACATTTGTGTGCATGAACATTTAATGTTTGATTTGGTATGGGTGTTTCTATGTATAATAAGTATGTATTTCCAAAAAAAAAAGTATATATGTATTTATATTAGCTGTCTAGTACCCATAGTACAAGCCCTGCTTAGTTTGGGACAAGATGGTGTTGTGTTAATGTTGTAGAATATTATTATTACAAATACGTGTAGTAAAAATAAAACACTTTCTAATATGTTGTACTTTTCTGAAAATGGCATAAATTCTAGTTTGTCATACAATACGAGACAGTGGCGCTCAGGGGATCATAAGTCACGTGACACCAAAGTAATAACCCTTAAATTGCTGCATTTTTCTGTATAAGCTATCACTTACCTCTCTCAGCAGTCCAAACAGCATGTCGGTGGAGAGCGAGCGTTCATGAGCCTCGTCCATGATGATGGCGCAGTAGTTGTCGAGGTCGGGCTCCCGCAGCCCCTCGCGGAGCAGGATTCCGTCTGTCATGTACTTGATCACTGTGTTCGGGGATGTGCAGTCCTCGAAACGGATCGCGTAACCCACTTCGTCACCTGCGAGGTACAAAATAATTATTGATTTATCGGATACTATCTTAGTTTACGGTTTCGTTCTATCAGTCATTTTTCGAACAGTCAACAACAGTTACCATTATGTTTCTGGGTATGTGTGTGCATTGTTTTATCCGTAATAACTGCTCAACGTACTCTACCGTATGCGTTAATTTTATACGTCACTAGCTGACCCGACAAACGTTGTTTTGCCATATACATTATTTCTAGGAAATATTGAAAAAAAAAATTATGGGTCAACCACGTCATTTAGAGGTATGAAAAATAGATGTTGGCCGAATCTCAGACCTACCCGATGTGCACACAAAATTTTATAAAAATCGGTCCAGCCATTTCGGAGGAGTACGGGAACGAACATTGTGACACGAGAATTTTATATATAAGATTATACCGTCCTGTTTTGATCAGCGGCCAAACCATGCTTCAGCATAAACGGGTCGTCTCGACCGCATACCACACAATAAATAACAGAAAAGCAATTCTGTCCTTGTTTTTTTACTGAGTGAGGTTATCGACCTTCGGTGAGGGCGACAAAGTACTTTTGTCTATAGAGTTGAAAGTGTTCAAGGGCGGCGCTAGACACTTATCATCAGATGATTTGTGTGCTCGTTTGCCTCTTTCATAACAAAAAAAAAAAGTGTAGTTTCTTTAAATAAATATTATGTTATGTGTATATAATAATTAACTATATCACATTAAAAAAAAGAAAAGAAGAAAAGGAACATTCTTACCATTCGCACGCGGATATTTGTAAATGACCATCAGATGGTCATGTAATGTGTCTTATATTTTAAAAATGCTAGCTGTAATTATCTCAAACAGAGAAAATAAAATGCCTTAACACGTAACGGTTATCGGCGTTGTGGAGTAAGGTTAGGTTAGACGCACCGAGCTTGGTGTGCATCTCGTCGGAGACGCGCTTGGCGACGGACATGGCGGCCACGCGGCGCGGCTGCGTGCAGCCGATCATGCCGAGCCGGCTGAAGCCCTCCTCGTGCAGGTACTGCGTCAGCTGCGTCGTTTTGCCGCTGCCGGTTTCGCCTGGAACCCACAAAACATTTACTAACTATGCTCGTTTTCTTTATTCTTACAGTTGCTTAAAAACGGAACTGTTTGTAAAATTAAGGTCGATTCGATTACATAGATAACCTATTTTCAATAAAACAAAGACGAGTTGTTGAGCTTTTTATAACTTAAGAAAATACCGATTTCAATGATGTTTGATTTTTGAAGGTGCCTCGACGCCTAGTGACTAAGGGAGCAATTTACGCAGGACAACATCACTGTAAAGAGAAGGAAATCTTGACACAAACCCTGTACCGACCCGGCTGGCCAGTGTGGTACAGTAGGCCCAAACCTCCTTTCTAAGGAGAACCCTGTGTCCAGCAGTGGACTAATAATGGCTAATGATGGTAATTATTTTATTTAAAACTAGCTGGTACCCGCGACTTCGTTCGCGTGGAATTTGAAAAGCGCTGCCTTTATGAGTTCCATGCCCGGACCGGGCAAAATTTTAAAAGGTCTTTCTGAGAGGAAAAATAGCCTAAGTAATTCCTTATGTAGTGGTACTTATTGGTTTTTAGGCATAAGTATCGTGCAAATAACCGTGTGAGTATAAAAAAAAACTATAATTTTGACATTACAAACATAAACTTCAATTTTATTTATTTGTATAGATAAATGTAAGTAGTACAAACAATAAAGAGTCATAAAGAGTCGTTCTTATAAGATATAAAAAAAACATTCCTGTAAAATTACGAATAACTTGTTTTAAAAATTAAAGATATCGAATAATTGTTGAGTAATTTCATATTAATAAAGATTTTACTTTCAATTTCCTCAGATGTTATGAAGCTGTTTTCAGTAAAGCTCAGTATAGTACTTAATAAAATACAGGTTAGTACCACTTACCGACAATAATGACTACGCTATTCTCTCTGATGACTTGCAGAAGTTCTTCTCTGACCGCGAACACGGGGAGGTAGCGCCGCTGTTCGCCAATCGTTTTCTTCTTCACGAAGTCTGACTTGGATTCGATTTCTTTTGGTTCTGTAAATAAACAATGTGTTTTTTTTAACCCACTTCAAACGATTTCAATAATTCGTTTTTTAGGGTTCCTCCGTACCCAAAGGTTAAAACGGGACCCTATCACTAAGACACTGACAGACTGACAGGTCTGTCCGTCTGTCACCAGGCTGTATCTCATGAACCGCGATAGTTAGACAGTTGAAATTTTCACAGATGATGTGTTTCTGTTGCCGCTATAACAACAAATCTTAAAAACAGAATAAAATAAACATACAAAAAACGTGATTTTTTGCAATTTTTATAGATAATGGTACGGAACCCTTCGTGAGCGAGTCCGACTCGTACTTAGCCAGTTTTTTTTGTTAAATCGTTTGTAATGTTAGATCCTTTAGGTTGACTATAGAGTTTGAAGTTTAAGAGAGGAAGAATTGATTTAACTTACATTATAAAAGCAATTTATTATGACTGTGGTATTTTTCTAGCTCATAGTATACAATTTGAATTATTAATTCTTATTGGATTTTTGAATAAACATTGTAGAAGATAGGCTTTCCTTGAAGACCCCATTACACAGATTTTATTAACAAAACTAGCTAACCCGCGCATCTTTGTCTGCGTGCCTCAAAAAGAATGAAATTCCCCGTTTCTGCAACATTTTTCATAGCCGCCCGGCTCCTTTGGGTCTTAGCGTGATGAAATATAGCCTATGGCCTTCCTCGATAAATGGGCTATCTAAAGAAGGAAAGAACCAGTAGTGCCTAAGATTAGCGCGTTCAAACAAACAAGACAACAAACTTTTCAGCTTTATAATATTAGTATAGATAAAACTTCACCTCAAACCTTACCTTTATCTAAATGTTCCGCATATTTGTAAGCTTCTTTCGTGGGACCATCCTCCATTTCTTCTTTCTCTTTCTGTATACCCATAATGTTACCTGAAGCATAAATTAATCAATTGATTAAGATCGATCGAATGGTCAATTCTTTTTCACTGCTATAAACTCTCATCTCTTTCTCTACTTTTCTATTGTTTATTAGTTAGTTTAATAATGTTTAATAAGACTGTACATACCAAGCTTAGTTCCCTCAAGCTTCCAGTGTTTCTTCTGTGCTTTGCGCCTCTCCTTCTGTTCTCTGAATGCCTTGACTAATGCTGAGCCTTTGCGAGCGTTAATGGCTATGTCAGAAGTAGGGTCTTTTACCTGCAATGTGACTTAAGTTTTAGAATAGATGTCTTAAAAGAAATGATAGATTTATAGTCCATTCAAGTTAAGAAAATAGTGACGCATTGATCAAGCCCCGCCCCCCGCTCAGCCCAGTTTTTGGGTATGAAGCGATAATTTCTTAGAACCTGATTGGTTAGAGGGCGGGGCTTGACCAATGCGTCACTATTTTCCTAACGCGAATGCACTATAATGTGTACTCATCAACATGGATGTATAAAACTTTACTTTTCAGTAAAACTGTCAAAGTGTGAATGAATGAATGATTTATTTTTGTAAATAGATCTTTCCAGATTGGTAAAGCTATAAGGCATGTGAGGGTCATCTGTCCCCTTGTTCAAGCATGTATAACAAATGAATAAAAAAAAAAATATAATCAATAAATTAAGCATGTATATAAAAAACTGAAGCATAATTATTATTGTTAGTTTGTATTATCTCTCCCTCTCTCATCTATTGCTGTGCCCGACAGGGTCCATGATGATCTGATCTTATATTTAAGTTACCATCTAAGTAAACATTGTGGAATGCAATAAATATATTGAGTTCTAGCTGACTCTGCAAACGTTGTTTTGCTATTTACATTATTCAAAACTTTTTTTTGAAGTTCTTAAAATCCGTTCTTAGCTGACCTCTACTCGGTGAAAAGAATATTCCTACCAAATTTCAAGTCTTTAGCTCTAATGGTTCCAGAGATATCGTGATGAGTGACTATATACGTGGAAATCTCTTATATATATCTTTATATATATAATTCTTCTGTGAGTGTGTATGTCACTGAACTTCTCTCAAACGACTGGACCGATTTTGATGAAATTTTTTGTGTGTGTTCAAGGGGATCTGGGAATGGTTTAGATTCACAATTTTGTCCGCTGGACAATGTTTTTTTAATTAATTTTTATTTATTAGTAGTTGTTGATTTTGGAATGTTTTACATTGGATCAGACAGACGGCGCTACCATCGCAGTGTCAAATTTGACAGGACAACGTCTGTCGGGTCCGCTAGTATATATATATAGATTGAGTATTGAATCAAATTATTATTTAGAAAGGTCTAGCACTAATAGTTACCGGTATGACAGGCTCTGGCTGCTTGGTGAACACGATCCTACCGTCGAGGAATGGCGGCACGATGTTGTGGACCAACAAGTGAACACGATCGACACTCTCCTGGAAAGTTTTTAGATAAAATATGACATAATCACTAAATTATTTACTAGGAACCTTAGTGACTTATACAGTTTATTACTGTACAGTGGCAGTTGTTTATTATTAAATTTCATCATCATCATAGAACAACGATTATCTATACATTTCGCATTCTTATACGTCGACGGGATGTTCTGGTTTGCTGTCTGCAAGTGTCGCAGGGCCTTTGACAAAGGATCACCGTCAGGGTTGGAAACTGATCAAACATCCCCGACATATAAAGCGAGTCATTATTTCTTTAATGGAAACCACCCACGACAGTTTCAATTCAAATAATTTATTTTAGTTGAAATTGGAGCACATAAGACCGCGGTTAGAAAGAACTGTTTTTATGGTGTTTTTTATATTTCTTGATGAGGAGTCGAGTTACAAATTAGACTTAAAGTTCCAAGTTAAAAAAAAATACTTATTAAATTGCATATAAATTGTAGTACGTGGAAAATTGATACCTTTTTTCTCGTACTAATTATTTCTTTGTGTAATTACACAAAGAAATAATTAGTACGTAATTCACATCACATCAACAGCCTTTAATAGTCCACTGCTGGACATAGATCTCTCCTCAGAAAGGAGGTTTTGGCCTAATTTGGTGCGTAATTACCTCATCTAAATCATTATTGACACTAATAGCGTGTACAACACCGCTGGTCAACATTCTGTTTCGCTCCCACAATTCGTTGTCCTTGTCTATCTGCTGTCGTTGGGCGGAAACTTTGCGGTTCCTTCTTTTTTCTATTTGTTCTTCTTTACGGGCAACGTACTCGGCCGAGGTTCCCGCGAATGGATCTGATTCATCAGCTTCGCCTGTAAATATAGAGTACAAAATAATAATAATAAAAAATATATTTCTATTACCACATTATATTACATAACATTATTATAAAACAAAGTTTACCAGAGCGTCTGTTCGTGTGTTCACGATAAACTCAAAAACTTTTTGGATTTTGTGGTTGTGGTTTTCGCTACTAGACAGAGTAATAATAATAATATTTTCGGACATCTGTTACACAACGCCATCTAGTTTCAAACTAAGCAGCTTGTACTATGAAAACTAGATAGACTGACAGAATATTTAAATACTTTTTTGTAAAACATACATATTATACCCAAACTCCAAATAATTGCAGATCATACACAACATTTGGTCCGATCCAAGAATCGAACCTGCGACCACAGCACAGCAGTCGGATCCCATACTACTGCACCACCGAGGCAGTCTAAGTGATTCACAAGGAAGGTTTAGGAATGTAATTTATTCAGATTTAGGGTAAATCGATTTAAATGTGATAAAAATTGTTAAATATGTCACCAAGAGTCAAGCTGGCCGGAAGATTTCAGCGAAAAAAATATTCAAGTGCCGGGTCTCACACACATTTTAAGGCAACAAGCTGATGTGAGCCTACGACAGGAAAAACATGTCGGTATATTATACTATTACTACCTGAGCGAAGCCATGGCAGATTGTCATTAAATGATTCAAAATAGAAAACGGTATTTACCTTCGCCCATATTATACCAAGCTCTGTCCAACTTTTTCTCAGCTTCTTCCCAATCTGAATCATCAATGTCTACCGCACGCCTAGAACTAGCAAATCTGCAAATAAAGAATCAAATTTCATTAAGTGTTCGATGAGGAAATCTGCTGCTGACAAACTTGGTTTAAATGAGTATATTATCTAAATATTATTTAATGTATGTGTACCTTGAAAAAATAAGATATAAAAAGAATAAATATTTAAAGTTAAAACATGACACAGTTGGTTTTTAACAAATTGACTTTTTAATGATGACATCAATATGCACATAACATGTCACAATTTTTTTATTAATTTAAAATGTGATCGTTATTTTCATAAAAGATACAGCAATTTACAAAGAACTGAAATTTATAAATTGAAAACAATTTAAAAAGAAAAGCTATCAAAATATGTTAAAAGCATAAACATAAAAATGAATAGGTATACGAAGACAGTATTTGGACAAAAACTTACTTATGAGGGGTAGCTCTGGGTGTATTCTCATACAACCTTCCCTTATAATCTCTCATGGGTTTGCCACTTCTGTCACTACGCTGTGATCGGTCTGGACCATCTCTTGGCAGAGGTGTAGGAAAGTCCCAACTTGACTTTCGAATTGGAGCCCTCGGATCATCGTCGTCGTCGTCCCAGGCTGTCTTGTCTGTTGGCTTCAAAGCCTTCATACTATAACAAGTACAACATATGTTACTGTTTGTTTGTACAATAGAAGAATAAAAACAGGAGCACACAATATAGCAAAAACAAAAGAATAAAAGGAGAAAAAGAAATCACTAAGTAAAAGTTGGAATAAAAAGAATAAATTGAAAAAAGAATGCTAACAGAAAAAACAATGAAATCCTAAAGATTGGCCTTTGCCTTTGCATACCACAGTTATAACTTGTAGGAAAACAGAATAAAAAAAGTTAAAGTAAAAATAATATTTACGTTGGAGTCCTAGGTTCATCTTTAAACCTAGGTTCGTAATAGCTCCTTCTCGAGCTATCTCGACCTCTTTCACTTTCCCGATCCCTTCTTTCTGAATCTGAACCCCTCCTACGGTCTCCATCACTTCGATCTCTTCTGTCATCTCGCCTATCATCTCTTCTCCTATCTTTATCACGGTCTCTCCTATCATAACGATAACGATAATAGGCATCATCTTCATCATCCCTTGAACGTGATTTCTTTTCTTCCTGAGTCGAATTGTGCACACCTTTCTCTTTCGCCTCTTTTTCTCTTCTGTAAATGTAGAAAGCGTGATTTATTTTATATTATTAATATATAATGAAAAAAATACATGAAAAACAATTTTAATTTCAATCAATTTGTTGTCTGTACAACTTATAGATAGATTATTTTAGGTATAACCCTGCTTTGAGACATTTAAAGCAGCAGACAAACACTGGAAATGGGCATATTATTTTTAATTAGAAAGATGAATTTGCAATAAGTAGTTATCTAATACATTTAAATGAGTAAATCTTGTATACAACGTGTCCCAAAATTCAACGATAAGCCGGTACCGGTGTATGGTCGGGTCAATAACCACCCATGGAAAAATAATAAAAAAAAAACAGCTCTTTTTTTTCAGTTACATTAACTTTTTTGAAAAATGTTGTAATTTGATACCCTACACCCTATGATTAGATACTGTGGTTACAAATGTGAACATATCCCCACATTTTTTTTGTATTAGCTACCTAAGTAACATAACTATTAATTGCAGTTCCAAATAGGACCTATACATTCGTAGTTTTTAATATAAAAATAAAATAAACAATCTTTTTTCTTGAAATTTTTGAATATTTAAACTTTTAATCAACTTTGACATGCTACTGTGTAAAAATTATTATGAAATGTACTATGGCATGTTATTACAAAAGTTAGCGCAACTCATCACAATTCTAAAATGGTGCAATACTATGACAACACTTGTAAAAATTCTAAGAATTCTCTTATCAAGACACAAAGAGGATTATTCAGTTTAGTTTTTGAAAACATTACCTACTGTTCAAAAAAGGGTTCTAAGACTGTTTCAATGAAAGTCACAATGAGAAATTAAGATATTTATTGCGTACTTAAATTAAATTTTCAAATTGTTGACCATCTGCGTCAACACACGCGTGACAACGCCTTAAAAATGATCTTTTAATGAGTCTCGCACATCCCCGTCTGTTCATATCTTCTGCAGCCTCCAAGATTCTTTGACGCAGTTCGTCAATTGTTGCAATTGGTATCTAATCATAGGGTGTAGGGTATCAAATTACAACATTTTTCAAAAAAGTTAATGTAACTTTGAAAAAAAAAGAGCTGTTTTTTTTTATTATTTTTCCATGGGTGGTTATTGACCCGACCATACACCGGTACCGGTTTATCGTTGAATTTTGGGACACGTATATATAATCTGAATCTCGGAAACGGTCCAATGATTTTCATGAAATTGAGTATGCAAGGGGTTTCGGGGACGACGAATCGATTTAGCTAGGTTTCATTTACCAAAAAAATACCAAGAAAAAACTTGGTCATCCAGGTACTGTACTGTACCAGGTACAACCCTATTTTATAATCTACAGAACTATAGAAAAAAAAGGGTTCGAAATAGTGAAGAGAATATATAAAAAGACCAGCAGGAAAGATTGAATAAAGGCAGTGGAAAGTTTTTGGCAAACTTTTCAGATTTTCAATCACCAGTAGCCAATACAAGAACAGACACCCTGCGTTAACTGAGTCAGCTATAAGCCCAACCTGTCAAATCTGACACTCATTATTGGCAGTTTTAGACTAGCATTTTTTGTGTATGAAACCACTCTATATTTTGATAAAACCTTTGATAGTAGTCAAATCTTTGATAATATATGTTCAAACATGTTGTGAATTATCTGCAGCATTGTCACAAAAGCTTGACTCATTCGCGTTGTCAGTAGTTTAATCTTGAATGTGAAAAGCTGGTCTTCATGTATTGTTGTTGCCTCCTATCTATCTATACAAATAAATAAAATTGGTGTCTGTTTGTAATATTAAAATAACCGTTTTTTACTAAATGCATATGTATGTTTACACGGTACATATGCCAAAATAACATTTTTTACAATTTTTGTCTGTCTGTCTGTTTGTTCCGGGTAATCTCTGGAACGGCTGGACCGATTTCGACGGGACTTTCACTGGCAGATAGCTGATGACATAAGGAGTAACTTAGGCTACTTTTTTTTAGACTAGCTTCGCCCCGCGGCGTTGCCCGCGGTTATAACAACAAACGCGGGTAACATTGCGGGTCTCAGCTAGTACTTAATATGTCACAACTGGCTTTGTAAACCAAATCTGAAAACTCAACAACACTGATGACAGACTTTTATGTCCTTATGAGCTGTACCCTTCCATGCTTCACTTTGGCACAGTGTGGTTGCAACAAAATAGTTATAAGCAATCTTTGAAGCGGTTTGTATATCATGTCATAATTTGAGTTGAATCAGTGCAGAATTGTTTGAGATTTTAAGGCATACACAAATCAACTTAACATATTTATAAATATATAGATAGATAAACTATAAAGGATTTAAAATATTTAAAGTACATATTTATAACTACTTGGATAACAAAGTACAACTCAATTTTAAAAGGTTGTAGACTACAAAGGGGGGGGGGGGGTTCTCTGTAAAGTGATAAATGTAATAAACCAATATAGTAACAAAATACATTTGTAGCTACTTCCACAAACAAAAACTCTATTATACATTATTATAACCTCATCTAACCCAAATGATTCACAAATAATAGGGAGGGCCTGGATAGAAAATGGTCAGAGTTCTAACCTAACACAAATGCTTCAATAACAATGACCAGCATTGGGCAATAGTACTTTTGACTATGTTCTGACTGTAACATAATACTAATAAGAATTATGTCAAAAATTAAAGTTCAGCCCAATGCCTTAAACCCAGATACAGGACAAATTATTGTCTTCATCATTTATTTGTTGTGGGCAGTAATTGAACCCGTTCTGGCGTAACTTATAGGATATGACTGAGCAGTCAGCATCTCAAACAAGTATTAACAACTAGACTAACAGGCTTTGGAACAAGACTAATAAAACTGTTTGTAAAAATTGGATGCAATATTTTTTTTACTAAGATAAAAAGTTTTGGAAATTAATAATTTTATTTAATTAATTGAAGTATAAGTAGTGCCACTGGCTTGTTCGCTGAGAACAGAGTTACTGATTTTTATGGGCTCTTGAAGAGACTCAAAGCAATTTTATTTTTTTATGACAATTCCCACATTAGGAATGTATTATGTGTCTTTACAAACATACATGAAACGGACACAAAGAACACCCAGACTCAGAACAACAATTTGTGGATCACACAAAGTGTCATGTGGGGATTGGACCCACAACAGTGTAGCAGCAAGCTGCGTGGTGAGCGCTTAAGCCATCCATGCAGTCATTTTTCATGACTCTATTGTTATATTCCGCTGTTTTTCTGCTGAGAAATTAATTTAAATAATGTAATTTTCTTATAATCTTGTATAGCCTTTATTTATTTTGCCTGAAATACACTTTTATTATAATTATTATACTACTACACTAAACTTGAATGTTTTTAAACAAACCAAACAAAAATAGCAAATGTTTCAATTTCCGTTGTTCCGTTATTGTTTCAACCGTCTCTAACCAGGTTTAACAAAAACACTATTTAGGTGTATTTTAAAAAGCTTTCTGCAAAATATTTACTATATCATGATTCTTAATCATATTTGTCGTGATGTCTTTGTAAAATAAATACTATTTTCATTATGTCTAGAAGATGTATTCTATGTTTAAAGTTACAACAATACAAGTTTACAAACATAACTTTATGTACCTTTGCAACCTCTCTAGCATACGTTCCCGCGCTTGTTCTGATATTCCACCGGTATAAGTAGGTGTTTCTTCATTATGCCTTCTATATTTACGCTCCTTTACCGCACTGGAGTCACTTTTATCATCAGATGTATCGTCATCGTTAGTGTCGTCTTGGAATGATATCAGTCTGTTCTGCTTACGTTTAGCCGCTGCTAATTTATCAAGACCAAGTAACGAAGGCATTGCAAACTGAAATTCTTCTGGCTTGTCTTTCTTTTTTATTATAAGGCCACCAGGATCATCTCCCGACGTGCCTGGCAAACAATGAAGGTTTTCGTCATCGTCCGACATGGCGACGCACCGTACACTTCACTAGCACTTAATGCTAAACTAAAACTATGAATATATGTAAAACTAATTATTCTTATTAGGTTATGTGAAACAAAATAAATTACAAAACATTGGAAATAATGACGTAAACATAAGTGACATTCCTAAGACATCTACATGACACTGACAGTTCTCATGATGGCAGTATTTATTGCCAAGTACAAAAACATTCTAAGGTCAAACGTAAGCTAATTAGTTGAGTGGTAGAATTTTTTTATTTTTATTTATCAAATAAAATACAAAATCAAATATAATTCATAAAATAGCATTCTTAAACAACTAAGGTTTTTAGTGAATGCTACAAGTGGTCTACAGTCATATTATGCTTACGAAATAACGACACCTACACAGGTGTTAAGAGTAAAACATTATACTAGATTACCAGGTTTATCACTGGCTTTTCATGTTCTGGAGAAAATGAGACCTTAGTTTATATTTAATATTACTTGGAGTGATTGTATTTCGCATATCGGAGGGTAGTTTATTTATTAGTCGAGGAACTAAGTACAGCGATGTGCGCTCTTTTTTTTCTTTAGGGGAAGGTGGCCCAAAACGGGTGGGCCGCCCAAGACGGGTAAGCCCTCGTATATTGTTGTATCAAGCATAAGTGTCAATGTGTGCTTGTGTCGAGAGTTGTCGAACATTGACGAGTTTCGATCAGTTTCGCTCAGGCGCCGGAGTCGCGTAATGGCGTAGGTGTGTGCAACGAAAGTTTTAAAGTGATTTTGTTAAAAAAATTCAAGGTAAGTGTCTCGTAATTAGTCGAAAACGTTTATAATTCTCATATTATTAGTAGTACCGTTTCATTCAAGCACTATCTAACTTTAATTTAAGATAAAAAGTTTGCCCCATTTACCTTTCATTTTGAGGTCATTATTAATTTACAAAAAACATGTGCTCCCGGGCAAAACGGGTAGGGCAAAACGGGTACATATATGAGAGCAGCTAGTGCGCAAAATGTTATTTTTATTTTTAAATCAACTGGAATATGGCCTAAAATTGTCACATATTTGATGAGTCAGACTTTTTGCCATCTACTTTGAGGGACCGCCCTGAACCTCTAATTGTGCATCCCAATCTGCACTTCCACGTGGAGAAACATCTCGTATCTCTTGACTCTGACCGCACTGTCTCTCCATCTGTTTTGGAAAATGAAAACTTTAACCCCATCGATGACGTGACTGCAACTGTTGTCACTCAATGTCTAATAGAAAAAAATCTATTCCCTGCAGAAATTCAAATGCCAAATGCAGATGAACAGGCCTCCAACCCCATCATTGCCGTTTCGTCATCAAATAAAGACGTAGAGAAAGACATCAATCAGATGGCTGTCCAGGATCCACTAGCCGAAAACGTCATCCTTTCATGTTCTACACCAGTGAAATCGATTTCTCTTGGACCAATATCTTCGCCATCAGCATCGTTGGTTCATGTATAACCTGTAGACATTAGACCAATGCCGAAACTGAGCCTAAATAAAACAAATCGCAAGCGGAAGATTCAAAAAGCTGAAGTGTTAACCAGTACACCAATAAAAGAACAGTAAAGAGAAAAGGAAGAAAAGAAAAAACGTACAAAAGTTGCTGAAAAGAAAGCATCTCTGACGGCAAGGAAAGTTGGCAAAAACATCAAAAATATGCCTTCTACCAGCAAAACAAAGAAAGGTAATACTAAAGGTACGCAGAAAAAGTCGGAAAGAAAATATGTTTGCTTGGTTTGTGATGACCCTTATATGAATCCACCTGGAGAAGACTGGATCAAATGTGGAGACTGTAAAGAATGGGCTCACGAAGCATGTACTGCTTATTCTGGTATAGGTTCCTATTTTTGTCAGGAATAGTATTTAACTTTGAATCTACAACGTTGATTATTATGAAAGTTTTAATAATTGTTTCTATTTTCTTTATAAGTTTGATCTCAATAATAGGTATCTCTAGACTGATTAAAAGAGCATAAATATAGTTTTGTATCTAATGTTATTCATAAAAGTTAAAGATTATTTTACGTATGTATAATGTTATGTGACTGAATTTGTTATATGCTAATTGCCAAAATGTTAAATAAGGTTCAATTATTAGCTTCCTGCCTTTTATAATTATGATTATAGTTTATCTGATCATGACACTTACCCGTTTTACCCTAGACTTACCCGTTTTGCCCAAAGGAGGTTACCCTTTTTAGGCTCATATGCGGGCAAAACGGGTTTTTGGAAAGGATTTGCATTTTTTTTATTAAATTAATATTTGATACAATATATTTTCAAATAGTGTTTTATTTTCAAGTTCGATAAATACCCTATCTTATAAAATAAATTCAGCTATTTCCTAACATGATTTTACACTTTTTTTTATCTTCGTTCTTAGCTTACCCGTTTTAGGCCACCTTCCCCTATATCTTGTATGAAATAAATGGTTGTAATGGCCAAATTGAAATGAAAAGAGAATTGTACATATGTGCATGAAGTTTCAAAAAGACAAAGAAAACATTTTATTTAGAAATTATGACTTAATTAATTATTGTCAAACTTTTTTGAACACTTAAACAATTTGTTTTTCTTGTTTGTTTCTAATTTAATGAAAGAAATCAAAGTTGCACTTCATATTTTTGTGTAAATAATTCTTGTTTGCGGGACGGGACGATGACCGATGGACTAAGGAAGTTGACCAAATGGTGGCCAAGAGATATGCGGCGGCCTCAAGGCAGACCACCTACCTGTTGGTCAGATGACTTTGTGAGGGCGGTAGAAGAGCCATGGATCAGCGGGATAGAGACTCTTCTTTCTTTACCCAGCAGTGGGTGCAACAGGCTGCTAACATAGATAGATAGAATTCTAGTTGACATAATATACAACAATAAAATTTGTTTGTATATTATTTTATAGCAAATTAATTTTAACCTAATCTATTATGGGGTTAATAGTATACAGTTTCTAATTGCTATTAAACGTACGACAGATGGATAGATGGATAATTATTTATTTGTAAGACAACATTACTACAATAGCATAATAATACATACGTGTATCAGACAGGTAATGTACAAATACCGTCCTGATTACAAAATGCAATCTCTGCCAGGTATATTTAGGATGCATGAAAGTGTTTTGCAGAGAAAGTGGTAGCTGAAGGCTCTTTAATTTGAAAACTATTAGATATTTGTAATTACGAATGAAAACAAAAATTGCATCACAATACTTAAACTGAATTAATTTGCACCATGAGATTTTAAATTCGAGAACCATTGAGAAATTAAGGTCATCGTCAACATCGTATTTGAATTAAAAAATGGCAGTATAGTATTCAATAGGAATTTTCAAAAACAACTATTATATATCTTTACATAGTACAAAATAATGCTTAGATCTTTTAAACTAAGCAACGGATTTTAATGCGGTTTCATTAATAGAGAGAGTGATTCAAGGGGAAGGTTTATATGTATAAAACATGCATTATTATAGTAGAGGAAATCCGAGTATTTCAAAGATTTGTCGTAAAAAACATGTTTTAGTGCGCTTACATTGCAAAGCCAGCGGCTAAAAGTTATGTGATAGACGAAAATAATTTACTACGGACTGGTATATTTTAAAAATATCTACAAAAAAGTGCTCGATAGTATATGTCTATTTCCCAAGCATACCCCATAGCAACTATTTTTATCTTTTAAATACATATTACAAAAATAATAATTGCTCTTTATCACAAATCATTAAAATGAAGATATTAGAGGTTTAGAATGCGGGGCCCCAACGACCGTCGAGCCGTACCTCCATCTCGGGTGGTAGCGTCTGTAAGCTGAAGCTGCCGCGAAGTCCATCAGGGTACCAGGGATTTCCTTTCTAGGTTACACCAGGTTCTATGACCATTGGTACCCGAGAGGAGGTGGAGAGGAAAAATCCACTAGCCCTACTTCCACTAGTGAAATGCATTTTTGATATTTTAGGTTTATTGTCCAAATTGAAAGCACTAATACGATGTAATAATTACGAAGCTAAAAAGGACGATTGTGTAAGTCTGTAAACAAATATCAATAGCACTTCTAAGCGGTGCTTAATTTTTAAACATCACATTGATTCTTTGTTCTTTTTTATTTAGGTCAAAGTTCTATGGGTGAAACCTCCTTGAGAAAGTGCGAAGTACAAAAAACACGAGTGTGCTTTAGACCACACGACTGAAGTAAAACTTCTTTAAGGAAATGAGAGAAAGAGAGATAGAAAATGTGTGCTCGTACCTCTCTGTCTTGCCCCTACAGAAATATACGAAACGTAACCCTCTCGCTTTCTATCTTCCCTAACTTATATCCCCTCTCAACTTCCGTTCGCCTCGCCCAATCACATTTTTCGTCACGCATTCACCAGCTAACCCTCAAGTCAAGCGTGCGTAAAGAAGTTTTACTTAAAAAAATGTGTGTTTGGTCGAGTCTTCCGAAAAAAATATTTGTCCATCTAAGGTGTAAATTGGGCAATTTTTTTTATCTCAGGAAAACCCTATAAAGTTTTGCCAGGCCCGACCCCACACTGAATCAAACCCACAAGGCAACGTTTTTTAAAAACAAGCGAATGAAGTGGCGTCTACCAGCTAGTATTAAATACAAAGACAAAAATATTCATACTGTCATAATATTATATAAAAAATGATGTGTGTTGTATTCTATCTCATCTTCTCGCCGACTTAATTCTACACATTTATGTGTTTGATTCTTTATCGTGACGCATTTTCGTTTCATCGAGTTTCATCACAGTTCAATCACAAAGATTGTAAAGAAGTTTCACTGCAAAAAAATGCTTGTTATCAATTTAATTCCGAAAGTAATTTGTTATCTCTTTATACTTGCTTAAAACAAGTGTGAGTTTAAACAGAAAATTAGAGTGAAATTTTGAGTTATATTGCCAGCTATTTGCGTATTCTGAAAATTATTGTCTTGAAACCAGGTGTTAACCAATGTGTCCGTTATCTGCATCCGCG